GTAATCATAGTCATCGTGCAAAGGGGTTCTGTGGTCCCCCCAAATCGTCCATGGGAATATCATCACCAAAACCACCTTCAGCCATGGCTCTATTAAAGATATAAAAAAATACTTTCAATATAAACGATGTTGGCCTACAGACGAAAACTCGATCCTTTCCGAACATTGAGAGAACCCCTGGCGCTCAAAGCCGGGCGTCAATCCTTGACGATCACCAATAATCCGAGCACGATCGACAAGAAGCAAACGCTGTTGGTGCGCTATCCCAACCTGGAATGGCGAATAAACACAAGGCCATCGCCGAGGCATTTGGGAACCGATTTTGCATCCCGCTTTACTTCGAGTTGCTGGAGGGTTACATGCCGTTTTACCAAGCTGCACTGGACGACAGGCTGGAATACGAACGAAAAGTATTGGGACCCCAAGATCACGAAAGTCGAGGTGACCGTCGAGGGCGTGCCCAACCAGCTGTTCAGCCAAGGCATGCGCGCTTACGGTCAGTCGAAAGAGATCCCAAAGTAACCGGCGATCAAGCGCCCGCCGGAAATCAACTCGATCATCAAGCACCTCGGTCTCGCCTAAGTGACGCTAGGAGAGTACTTGACGACCAAGTATGCGCTGTGGTTGAACATGCGATCTACGGACGACGATCGTTTGCACGGTAGCAGACGTCGCATCGAGAATGGCAGCGAGGGGATCACCATCCAAATCACCAAGAAGGCTCAAACCGCGGGTAAATTAAACCTATATTTGTACGTGATCATGGATGCGCAGCTTAATAAAGACAATGGAAGATTCGTGCAAGCCATCTATTGATTTGCCTCGCGATCCTAACTGCGCCATCGTGGGTGGTCAGACGGGATGCGGGAAGACCGTGTTTGTCTTGGATATGCTGGAAGGGTAATATCGGAATGTGTTCGATCATATCTGGATTCTTTGCCCTACGATACGCGTCGGTAAAATGAACACGGAGAGAGCGTGGGTGATGAATGACTCAGAGGTGTACACAATCAACCCGGGGAGTACGTTTACAGCACTGGTTGCGAGCCTTTCGTGAGAAGTCTGAGGGACAATCGACGCTGTTTATCCTAGACAATTGCAGCGTGAATACAGAGATCACCAAAAAGAGAGACATGTTATCGTATTTAGCGTTTTCAGGACGTCACATGAAACACAGCGTTTGGGTCCTCACGCAAAAATTCAAGTCGGTCCTGAAAGACCTCAGGGAACAGACGTGATGGGTCGTCCTGTTTCACTGCAAGGATAGGGATTCGTTCGAGGAATGTTTAAGGGAAAATGACGTGATTCCCACCAAACCTGAGCGAGAACGCGTGAGAAACTTGTTAGCCGAAACGAAACACTCCAAACTCGTTCTGAAAACAGACCAACCCGTGGCTTAAAATCAAACAACCTGCTAAGCATAGAAAAAAGAAACACTTCTGCGAATGATGTCTGCACGGCTTCACGCGAGCCAACCTGCTGGAAGCACACCAGGCGGATTGCCGAGGCGTGGGAGAGACGGCCGTCTGAATCGACATGCCTCAAGAACATCAAAACATCTTAGCGTTCATCAATCGCAAACATCAAATGCCAGTGTCATTTACGCTGACTTCGAAGCGCTCATCAAACGGGTTGACCGCAACACGTCGCCACCCGACACAAATCGCAGTTTCACGTACAAATCCCATAAAAAACACCAAGCCTGCGGGTTCAGGTACGTGGTCGTTTGATGCGACGGTGAAACAGAGACTCCCGTGATCTACTGAGGTCCCGATGCGGCCGAAACGTTTCTCACGTTCTTACAACGCGAAGAACCAAACATGAGGGAAGCTTTGTCAGACCCTGCCCCCATGGATATGACGCCGGAGGATAAACTCGCTCACGAAGAGGCTCAGAATTGCTACGTGTGCGACCAACCCCTGAACGGGGATGTCGTGAGAGATCATTGCCACATCACCTGTCGATACCGAAGTGCCACCCACAATGCGTACAACCTCCAGATTAGAATCGATTCCCAATCCCTCCCCATCCCCGTGGTGTTTCACAATTTGAGAGGGTACGATGCTCACTTGATCATGCAGGCCATCTCGAACATCGATGGCGATATCAAATGCATCCCCAACAACACGGAGAAATACATCTCCTTCTCGCTCAACGGTCTGAGATTTATCGACAGTGCTCAGTTCCTCCTGTCGTTGCTCGACAGTTTGGTCAAGGCCAACGATACCTTCGCCATTACCAATTGATACACCGACGTGGCGACTCGGTCTTTGTTGTTACGGAAGGGCGTGTAGTGGTACGAAATACATGGACGATTGGTCAAAGTTTGACGAGCCACAATTACCTCCCATCGACCGCTTTTACAGCCATTTGACCAAATCCCCTATATTGCAGGACGATTACGACCATGCCCAGAACGTGTGGGAAAAACTGGGCTGTCGGCATTTAGGTGATTATCACGACCTGTACTTGAAAACGGACGTCCTGCTGCTGGCCCATGTGTTCGAGACGTTCAGAACAACGTGTTTGAAACAGTATCAACTCGACCCTGTCTGGTACTACACCAGCCCCGGTCTCTCGTGGGATCCGCTCTTGAAGAAAACCAGAGGTAAACAGTACGCTAGAGCCAACAACCCATACGTAGAAGGTTACGACCCGAGCAAGCCCACCAACCATCTCCTCTATCTCGACGCCAACAACCTGTGCGGCTGGGCCATGAGCCAGTCTCTACCTACAGGCAGGTTCGAAAGGTTGGACGATGAGATCAATATCACGAGCATCGCACCAGATTCGAACAAAGGCTACATCCTCGAAGTGGATTTGGAGTATCCCGCGGCATTGCACGCTGCTCACAACAGCTATCCGCTGGCTCCCGAACGGTTGACGGTGAACCGTTGCTCAGGAAAAATAAGCTTGATGCGCAAGACCAAGTACATGGTGCACTATCGGAATCTGCAACTTTACTTGTCGCTGGGCATGAAGCTGACTAAAATACATAGGGTGCTGCAATTCGATCAAAGTCCCTGGATGGAACCTTACATTTGGCTGAACACAGAGCTGAGAAAACAGGCCACCAGCAATTTCGAGAAAAACCTCTACAAACTGATGAACAACTCGGTGTTCGGTAAAACCATGGACAAATTGAGAAACCGGGTGATGGTCAAACGATCTCACTAGGAAGAAAAACTCAGGAAACTCATAGCCAGCCCGGCCTTTAGCCGGAGCAAGCTATTCGATAACGACTTGGCAGCGCTACACATGAACAAAAGCCGCATCAAGCTCAACCGGCCCGTCTACGTGGGGATGATCATTCTCGACCTCTCCAAACATCTCATGTACAAATTTTATTACAACCGACTCAAACACCAGTACGGCGATAGATGTGAAGTGCTGTACACGGACACGGATTCACTGCTCATGGAAATTCGTACCTAGGACGTGTACGAGGACATGGCAAAACACATCAATTTGTACAACACCAGCGATTACACCCCAGACCACGCCCTACACAGCACGACCAATAAAAAGGTTCTCGGCAAGATGAAGGACGAATGCGCGGGGACACCCATCGCGGAATACGTCGGGTTAAGACCTAAAATGTATTCGATTAAAAAAGCCGATCATGACAAAATCCGAAGGAGGAAAGGGGTCAAGGAATACGTGGTGAAACAACTCATCAAACACACCCTCTTCAAACAGTCTCTCTTCGATAAACGCACGTTCAAAAAGAAGCGACAAACACAACATCTACGGCATCACACTCAACAAGACCTCTCTGTCGCACCTGGATACCAAACGATGGCATCCACACTTATAGCTATGGGTACCAACAGTAGGCCTCGACGCGTTGGGAGTTTCCGAGACCCCCAATAAAGGAAACTCCACTCGATGCGTCGAGACAATTGAATGAACGATAGCGTGTGTACATCATGGAGAAGGTTTACTACAGCCCTCGGGGTTACTAGAAAGGTGTGGGTGCCATTCCAAAGCTAGCCAAAGCCGCTCGCGTCTCCGAGGATACCGCCAAAGCTTGGCTTAAAAACAAACCATCTGGCAAGTGTACCTGCCGGCTCCCGAATACATCCCGAGAAGAAAGTTTGACATTTCCATACCCAATCGTACCCATCAAGCCGACCTCCTGTTTCTCCCGCACGACAGGGTGAGAAACAAAACGTACAAGTACGCCCTGACCGTCGTGGACGTTGCCTGTTGCTACAAGGAAGGCTATTCTATATTTAGCTATTTCTATCCTACTTCAAATTCAAATGTGTCCTTAATATTTAGATACAATCTAGTGTCACTAAGATATAAATAGAGAACCTCACCCAAGTGTCTACTGATATCAATTTTATCACCATGAGTTGATAAAGTTACAATATCCGAGGCTTGCTGTGAATATTTTTACCTTTATCAACGCGTGTTGATATTATTGATGTCAGTAGACACGAGGGTGAGATTCTATTTATGATAAAAAATCATTCTTCATTAGTTTTCAATGAAAAATATACATCTCTCAACACTGTACTACCATTAGACTTGCAGTGCAGCGATGTCATAGCATTGTGACGTCATCAAGTTGATGACGTCATAGCATTGTCATGGCATTGTACAATATCTACTGTCAAAACGATATCTCCTAGGGGATATCATATGATCTCACACAAGCGATATCTTCTGCGGAACACAGTTTTGGATAATAAAAGGTGATTTCTCCACATTTGGATTTGGATGTCATTTACTCTGTCTAAATTCATTTAAAAAGCTAGTCTTACAAGATACAGTTTGCAGCAACTACACATAGCCAAACCCATATTGACACAGTACATCTCTCAGTAAAGTAACCCATGTTTTGCATTCTGGATTGACTATAGACATTTCTGATAAGGCATCATATACAACACCAATGTATCTATGATTTTCACAGTTGATAAGCTTTAACCAATAATGTAAGATACGTAATATTCTACTTGTGTACATAGGTAGAACACAATTTAATTTAAACAATCCCTATTGTTGGCTAACTTGAAAATAGGGTTTATTACTAGTTATTCTATATAGCGTAAATAATGCTTTGCTAGCTTGTTCAGACAATATTCTTTGAGCCTCCGAAAAACTACCCGAGGGAGTAAAAGCTATAGCCAAATATTTAAAGCTATTACAATTTCCAAATGACTACCTGCGTAATTAAAGTATCTTGAAAAAAATATGTCTTTTGTTTATGTTTCATCATCATCAAGTAGCCCATCTCCCCTTTGAAAGAATGTCAAAACCCATTAGTTCTCCTTGTCAGGTGAACGAATTCCAGCTCCTGCAAATTTAAGCGTTTAAAACATGCGGCTAAAGCCGCCGGTTTTAAACTAAATTTGCGGATGTTGAATTACGATGAATCCCGGAAATTTCACAAACGTAACTATTTATCTTCTAAATACAACTTATCAAAAATGATCAATTTAGGTTTCTCTGCATTGAAATGACATTGACCCTTTCTGTACAAAAACAAAAACATTTCGTTTGTGATTATCGAACATGGTTAACTTCTTATAAATCTGTTTAAGAAATGGAGGATTCAACACGAGTGTTTATTATGTGTGGGAAATAGCAACCGAGTCTCAGTTAAAAGAAAACCTATGTCTGTTTCCCTCTTAAGGACTAGATTAATCATGATCAATCTTAGTTACCAGTCTTTGTGTACATTGGATACATTGTGCTTAGTAATACATGTTTTTCTTTGCTGCCATGTTAACAAAAATAGACATCATCCACAAAGTTTCTCGTATTTTTAACACCTGTCCAACTCTCCAAGTTAAATGATCAATAGGTTTTTTTTGGTTTTTTCAATGTATTCACTTACTTTGATGATCTGATATAGTTCCGTAATGGTTAAATGACCAGTTCTCTTTCACTTATTTACCTAAATGAATGAGACATCAAAGAGACTCTTGAAAAGGTCCCATCGGTTTCATATTGAGATCTTTGATAAATCATACAAGTACAGAAATGTATCAAAGTATAACACACTTGTATTTTTAGAGATATCAAAGTCATTAAATTTAACAAAGGATTTCGCAAATGAACGTTAACTTGATGAAACAAGGAACATCGACCAGACCTCTGTATACAGCAACGCAGTTCTCTGCCAACTGACCATTTGGTTCATGAGGATGCCACATACTGGCATTCACGAGGCGTCCGTTGTTCCACACAAAGGTCCCATCTACAGCCTTGTCATCGGCACCAACGTACACGTAGACACCTGCAATTCACATATTATTCTTCAATATAGACCTAGCGATTGTCGTTTTGCCGTTAAAGTTACAACGGTTTTAGGATAGTTCATGTACCGGATCCATTCGTCACATATATATAATGAGTGAGTGAGTTGATTTACGCCACTTTTAGCAATAGTCCATCACGACACGAGAACTGAGCTTCACACATTGTTCCCATGTGGGGAATCGATCCCCGGGTGTTCAGCGCGACGAGCCACTAGGCTAACCCACCGCCCCTCTCCTCTTCAAATATAAGTAAACATGAGCTTGTCATGTAAAACTACTGGATCGTATGGTTTTCAGTTTTGACCGTGGCACTTGCGTTTACCCCTTACGTTTTATCAATGTAAATGTGGAATTGCGTAGTACTGTATAATAATGTTCAAATGTTGCACGAAACCCTTTATCTGGTCCCGCAGCTCAAATCGCCGTACGCTTGAGAAAATAACATACCCTAGCTTGCATTAATTAAATGACGATTACCAAAAGAATGTCATAGTTCTATGGTCCTGTCTATATTTATCTTGGACTTAATCTAAAAAAAGTACCTTAGTCTTGCGTCTGTGTGCAACACGTGCACAGAATCATCATCATCAAATAGAGTGGTCTGACATCACCATTCTCGCTAACAATCAAACAGACTTCACTAAAGGCAAGCTCATCGAAGCCATCCACATCAAACGCCAAAATCCCAACATCAATCGAGACCAAGGATGCTTCATTCCATCCGCTTACGATGCACTCCTCCACCAAGCCCAATCTACTGTATAAACTCCACTGTATAAACATGTCATTATTATTTGTACATCATTGGCTTCCACGCCTGTCCTTTGTCTACTCACTGGCTTCATCAGCTCACTGCCTAGCCAAATATGTTAATTACGTTGTTCGCTTCGTTACATCGTTACCATTGTTACAGTATGTATGTATGTATGTATGTATGTATGTATGTATGTATGTATGTATGTATGTATGTATGTATGTATGTATGTATGTATGTATGTATGTATGTGTGTATGTGTATGTGTGTGTGTATACATATATACAGTGTGTGTGTATACATATATACAGTAAAATACCTTTATAACGAACTCCAAAGGACCACTGAAATTAGTTCGTTATATCCCTAGTTCGCTATTCACGAAATTCCATTGAAAGAACAATAAAGACATACTGTACAATCCGATACACTTCTACTCCGTTTATTTATTCATTCATACCGCAGTTACATTCTTTCTACTACAAAGTCTGTGATCCTACTTTGTCCACGCTTGGCCGACTGCATACGTGCTACAGCCTCATTCAAATCGGCAAGTGAATCAAATGAAAACATATATCTGTATCGAAATGTCGCACTCACGAATAAAAGAAGTTGTTATCCATAAAGTTTGTTTTATAGCTTTAAGTCTGTTTTTATCTTATCATTCAGGGAGATACCAGTCAGTTGTCATCGGTGATCACAGGTCAAGTCCAGTATCCCTGGCCTGCGGTGTTCCGCAATGGTCGGTATTGGGACCTGTACGTTTTCTTCTCTACACCAACAGCATTGTTCGGGTGGTACAACAACATCGCGTCAATGAACACTCCTATGCAGACGATACCCAAATATTCAAGACATGATATGACACCATCTGCTCTTAATGACATCACAGCCTGTGCATATGATATACATAGATGGATAATGAACAGGATGCTCAAACCGAATGCAGAGAAAACAGAGGCCATTTTCTCGGTACGAAACACCAGCGCCAATCTATAGAAGAGACTGGTTAGTCGATCTGTCATTCACAAATTGATTTCGTGTCAAAAGCTTGGGCATTGTGATTGACTCAAATCTGACCGTGGAATGAGTGAGTGAGTTTAGTTATACGCCGCACTCCAGCAATATTCCATTTTTTGGCGGCGGTCTGTTAATAATGGGGTCTGAACCAGACAATCGAGTGATCAGCAGCATGAGCATCGATCTACACAACTGAGATACGATGACATGTGTTAACCAAGTGAGCGAGCCTCCTACGACAAGCAAGGGTTACTGAAGATCAATTCTATCCTGGTCTGACCATGGAAGATCATGTGAACAACCTATGCAGGTCTGTCTAGTTCCGTCTGCGATCCCATTTCAGGTGTCCCCCACCGTGATATTGCTGGAATAGTACTAAAAGTGGTGTAAAACTAAAACTCACTCCGTCTGCGATCCATCGGTCAAATCCAGAACTATCTCACTGTTGAGGCCACAAAAAAGCCTTATGTAATCACTCGTCTTATCGCGACTAGATGTTGGCAATAGTCTCCTTTTGGGTGTATCCAAATCTTCATTGAAGAGACTCCAAATGATACAGAACACCACCGCCAGGATTGTGACACCTGTTTAAGGATGAGCTACATCACTCCGTTTCTCAATGCCCTTCACTGTAGAAGCCAGGATCAAATACAAGATACTCTGGTTGATGTTCAGGTGGCGCGAGGGCACAACTCCACCATACCTAAATAACCTCCTGTGTGAACATCGGGCAGCAGGAATTCTTCGCTCTGGGAGGCAACATCTTCTGAAAGTCCCACATTACAGACTGAAGGCCTAGGGATATGGACTAAGAACATTCAGAACTGCTGCCTCGATGCTCTGGAATGACCTTCCCTTAGAAATGAGAGGAATTAAGTGCTTTGACAACTTTAAGTTACAGATGAAAACTCACCTCTTCACCATCTAAAACTGTACAGAGACTCACTAGTGTTTCCACCTGGTATCCAGTCTTTTATAAATTAAATGTATTGTATTCTATTTCGTGTTGCACTTTGAGCATATGTTTTCATGGAATCTAGTGCTATACAAAACCACATTATTATTTTTTACAGATTAAAAATCGTATGCAGAGGTGGGGTTCGGGTGATCCTGGCACAGTGAGGCTGGTAAGGCTCACCATCAGCTCAGGGCCCTTGCCCATTCTACACGCAGCCCAGACTGCGAATGGGACTTCTCCCAGGACACGCTGCCAAGTCGAACCCACCAAGAACTTTCCGGAGAATATGAAGACTCCCCGACACTGCACCCTTCTGCAATACCAGAGTGTCAGAAGGGCTGTGCTCCCTGTGGAGAACCCGGGCACTCTCCTGATCTGCACCAAGAGATCAGGAGGTACCAAACCAAGGGCGCCGGTAACAATGAGGAATCTGATGACAGTGTACATGGGATGCAAGCGAGACACTTCAAAGGCGAGGTCCACATATTTAGCCTGGCTTTCCTGAATCTTGCCAATCACGTTGCTGTCAAAAGGGACAGAAAAAACAAATGATATAAATAGATTCATTGGCTTTATCAAAAAGGACAAGATCAGGTTTGTTGGCTGGAATTCTTCTGAGGCTGTATATTGGCCTATTCCACAGAAGTTTGAAAACATCATTTTCCATGACGCCCTGGACATGTTCAGGGTCGTACCATGGATGGACCTCAGAGTCAAAGCAACTGGCATGGCAGAGACGGTAGTAAAAGAACGAGCCATGCCATCATGTCGTTTAAGATATGCTGTTTGTGCAAGGAAGGGCATCCACTGACAAGGTGTCGGACAGTCTCTGTAAATTCATTGCACCATTTCATAAAAATATCTTTTTTTAGAATCACATGTTGGCTATTGCGAGTGGGAAGTGACTGGTATTGGGTAGCAAGGTGTCGGTTAGAATACTGTCCACACACGTCATGTGCACACGATGCAATGGTTTCTCAGAAAGCATCTCCACAAATGACCGACTCTGGGCAGACTTGGCGAAAGACTTCACCTGCTTTACTCCAGTCGCTGTACCGTCCAGCAGTACATCGCCATCAATAAAATCAACCTCCAGTTTCAGATTCTGTCCAACAACCTTGTCACGCTTAAAATAGCTGAGGAATACCTTGACATGAGTCTTGACATGCATCACCAGAGGATCATTCGAAAATTAATACGTGCAAAAGTACACAAAAGAATTCTATCATGAAGAGCCTCCACATTAATCAAATCCCGGTCTTCTGATTTGATTGGCGTATATAAACGATTGAGAGAGGAACGAGGGTGGTGGGCGCTGTTGTCAGAAGGTCAGACGGTCAAGACTCTGGATATCTTGTTTTGTCCAATCAACTACTCCAAAGGAATAAGAAAGGACTGGCAAAGCAAAAGTATCGGTGGCTTTGACCTTGTTTCGAGCATTTAGCTCTGAGTTCCGGATTTTTAAGCGAGATTTATACTCAGCCCGAAGTTTGCCATGAATCTGGGCATTCTGGAGCTTGTCTCGAACTTGAATTCCAAGATAGGTGTTGGCCTGATCTTCCACAAGATGCTCAATACCTCCTCCACTTGTAACTTGACCGATCCATCATTAGTTACCTTGCCACGTTTCAGATGAAGAGTATTACATTTGTCGAGTCCAAATGTCATGCCATTATTTTTATTATCATTAACGTGAATATGTTGTCCATCAACATAGCCTAGTTATTTAGTTACGAAATCTGCATTTATTCATATGGTGGCGTCATAGGCCTGTGGTACTTATACACGAAGTGCTTGATGGTTCATATATATAATAGACACATGAAGGAGACATTTTTACACAGAGCCCGGTCATCCTAGCTAAATGTTTATGCAGAGTTCAGAGTGTCCCTCTTTCCCGAGCTATACCTAAGCAGTTTACGTAAAGAATACGCACACATGCTTACCTTGTTCAGAATTGGCGAACTCGATATAATGCAAAATACAGGAAGGAGGCAGGGTATGGACAAAAACATCCGTTTTTGCCCACTATGTAGTTTAAATGCTATTGAAAATGAAATTCATTTTATTTTTGTTTGTCTTGTTTATCATGCTATACGTCTTAAATACTTTCCTTATATACACGTGGGCACTATCAGTCACAGAGAGACTCTTGTAAGAATGCTACAGCCCTCTGATGCTTTACTGTTAAAAAACCTGGCAGATTTTGTGAAAGACGCTGTCAGTCTACGATCGTCATATCTTTAAAATTTCGGAAATGCAGCACCAATTGTAAATATTTGCATGTAATATGTACGTGGGCATGAGGCCTTATTACTGAAATAAATAAATGAATGAATATGATAGACACCAACACGCAGGATAACAGAAAAATGAAATCACGTCGCGTAAATGCTAGAAAATTAACATTGACTAATTGTGACAACAATCTTAACAACAACAAAAGAGATTTTCATCATGGATATCTTGTTTGAACAGAGCCTTCAACTGGCTGAACAGGAGTAATTGGCTGATAAAATATAGCCTTGCTACTTACCCATATTGATAGTTAGTTTCTGTATGGCTTCCCATTTGTGAGTGTCTGCAAGTACTACGAGTCTGCCCCCTTGTAGACCACACTGACTGACGGCGGAGTCTTGGGTGGCCTGCGTGGACGACAGCCAGATACACATCTGAACATCCTTTAGGAAGATGTATCCGTATTCTACTGGGCACCACCCTGAATGTATATATCAACATGTTTTGTTGATTGTAACTTCCAAGAAAATCAATCACAAATGAAATGTAATGCGAGACAAATCTCATTTCGGACACAGCATTCAAAGGCAATAAAACCTCTTCCATGACAACATGATGACCGACTATATCCTTGACATGTGTTTATAAATCACTATCAAATAGTGATGATATCAGGAGGTCGCGAAAAGGCGCGTGCGTCCTGCTCCACCCATCACAAACACACACAGAGGCAAGTCAAATATAAACATGGTAACAGGTGGCGCATGTCAAAACCTAAAATCTCTTATCGAACACTGTTATGTTTTTACAGGTTACATGTTACATCTATGTTTGATGTCATACGCACGACACACACACACACACACACACACACACACACACACACACACACACACACACATCATCATCATCATACAATTAAAAGTTGGAATGCAACCCCTTTTATTGTATTGTGACTTTTTAATCTCCTACATCCACAGCACACATTCTGTCTTGTTAAAACAGTAAACGTGAAGAACGATACATGTGGTATCTGTGGGAAGGGTGTTATAGCTTCTAATGTGCGGCATCGTGCAACGAACAAACTCTCATAGCGGGACTCGTGGGTGCTGCTGCTAGGGCAGGATGTGCTTACTAGGGTGCCAGCATGTGCTTACTCGTTTCACGAACACCCGGTGTCATTACTGATTTCCAGCTCACACCACCTTTTGCCCCTTATGTCAAATGTGTGGCAGTCTGAATCTGTTTCGGGGATCATCGAGAGTTATTTTCCTCTGTTTATTCTGATATTCCATGGGGGATAGGGGTAGCCTAATGGTTAAAGCGTTCGTTCGTCAGACCGAAGACCCGGGTTCGATTCCCTACATGGGTATAATGTGTGAAGCCTTCTTCTGATGTCTCCGCCGTGATATTACTGGAAAATATGCTAAAAGCGGCATAAAACTAAATCACTCTGATATTCCAGCATGAGAAATACCGCCAGTAATTGTTACAGTACCGTTTGTTAAGGCATAGTGTCTCTCTGCATCTCCCAGGTTTCCGCTGCTGACTTGTAGGAATGTGTCTGGAACGAAGATAGTGCACAAGGACGTGTTTGGGTTGAACTTGAAGATAGAACATCGTGGGTGTCGTGCACAGCTGGCAGCGCATGTATCTGCTCGTGTCGTCGACGATGTCGTCATCTGGTACTCATATACCGTGTGGCCAATGTGACGTTGTGTCAGCAGCTCAAACGCTGATCTGGTTCCATTCCTTGAGTTACACAAATCAAGAAATCAATATTATCAATGCTATCGGTTCTTCTTTAACTTCGGTGCTCTCTTCATGAAGGATGTACATCGAAGTTTATAATACATATACATGTACAAAGATATATCATAACTAACTGAAAAGGCGTAAATGTAACAAATTAGGTTATATTTGGAGCCTTTTGGAAACAATTCTAATATATTTTGCTAAGTAACGTAAAGTGTTTGTTCTTTTGGATTTATAAAGGTTCGCCATTTTTAAGAGATTCGGCCATTGTAGAAATTGATTTGGGATAAAATCTGATCTTTCTGAAATAAAGGCTTCACATTTAAAAAGATAATGGAACTAATCTGCAACTGCTGGTGAGCTGCAGAGAGGGCAAAGTCGCTCTTCTCTGGGTACTCCACTCCAGCGGCCAGTCTCAACCGGTAGGTTATGGTTTGATGTTCGGAATATCAAAAGTTCAGGAGGGTGTAAGGTTTTCAGGCTGAAGACAAGTGGGCAATGGATATCGGAACATAATGGTGAGAATTCCCTTATTCTTAGATCAGTGAGGATTTGCAAACATTTAGATGATGCCAACAAATAGTCGATTACACTGGTATCCTTGTAAGTTGTTTTGCCTGTCAATTTATCGTGGCCAATCCTACAATTACAAATAAACAAACTCAACTTTCTACGTATATCTATCAATTTATTACATAGTTATTTACCTTATCATTATCTTGTGTTCCACGTACATGAGGCAAATAATGTTCATCAAGAATAGATTCAGGTTCTAATGTTTCATCAATATCTGCATTGTCCAAGTCAAATTCATCCTTCAGGAATTCATCAAAAATCTTGTAATCGCATAAGGTACCTGTTCTTGCATTAAAGTCCCCTACTCAAGAGACATAATTTAAAACTGACTGTTCAGTATCATGAAAGGTATCTGTATTTGAATATTTAGATCCTTCAGGCGGTATGTATACTATACCAAGGTACATATCCTGATCTAAATCAAATACTGCTTTACTGATCTTAATCCATAAAACATAATTGCAGGTGTCATCTAATTGAGTAATAAAATCTTTATATTTATTTCTAATGGCTACTCCAATGCCCCCAGACCTTCGCCTGGCACCAGTTCTATGTTTAAGATATAAAGTATAACCATCTATCTGTAGGTCATCTAAATGATCAGTCTTTGTTTCCTGAAAACCAATGATGTCATTGTTGTCAATTAGATTCAGGAATTCTTTCTTAATCCACATACATTTAACGATATTATTTAACGATATTATTTGTTCACATCCATCGCCATCATCATTATCATCATCATCATCATCGTCATCGTCATTATCATCATCAGCGTCATCATAAGCATCATCATCATCTAAGATGTTATTATCTGCAGGCAGTATAATGCTATCAACACCTGAGGCACTGTTTCCTTTAGCCACAGAATTTGTAATGTCAGCATTAGTGACAAGATCACAAGTGTGAACTCTTTCAATATTTTTACAGTCTGTAATTGCTTCAAAAGTACAGTCAGCACTAACAGTATTTTCAATGTTGGGCATTAGGTCATTCTGTTTATCAGCATGTGTTGCTGCAACTGTCTCATTTCTTACAAGTTCAGTATTGTCATTCATAACCATGTTGTCTATATTGTCTTGGGCAACACCTTTTTCATAAGTAATTCCATCGATAGATTTGTAAGATTGTTCCCAATTAGTATCAGGTATTTGTTCAAATGAATAACACCTTCTAGGTTTAACATATAGTGCATAAGAATTATTTATCCGTGTATCACTAGTTTCATATGACATGTGGTTATGTTTGATATCAGTTTGGAGTAGTTTGATATCCCCTTGGTATGACAGTTCACATTTACCTCTATGCGCTCCCTGAAATACAGAGTTCGCAGCAAAAAAGCTAAGTGAGTCCAAGTCAGTATTAGAGTGTGAGTCCTGTGATACACTGAGTTCAACATCTCTGACTAGGGTTGGCATGTCCATCAAGCTTGCCATCCTGTAGGGAGACTACAGCCTCCTGTCCACATACAGCTTGTCGATGACCATGTAGGCCTGTTTACCTTGTTGTCTAGCTGATCTGAGCAGGGACATCAGGACCTCTCTACGGTACTGAGCAACTTCCTCCGGGAACTGCTCTATGACACTGTAGGGCTTTCTTTTCAGTCTCCGTGCGGCCGATTTTACAGCATCGCGTTCCCTGGTGTCGATAAACTTGGCGATAAGGGGTCGGGGTCTGTCTCCGTCACCTTGTCGCTTGCTGCCAATTCCGTGGACACGTTTGAATTCCATGTTTTCACTGTCCAACTAAGGGTGATCCTTTTATGAATAGTTTCAGGATTTGCTCACAGTGTTCGAGGGTGGGCTGGGGCTCGGTCTCGGGTATATTAGTGAATATTAAATTGTCTCTCATGGACCTACACCTGAGATCCACGACGTACTCACGTAAAGCTAAATTGTCCTCTCTCGATTTAGGGATCTCGGGTACACAAGTACCTAGCATGTTTTTCAGAGATTGAAGGTCCGCTTCAAGAGTAGCTTAGTCGTCGATCCATTGGTCATAACTCTCACCCACAAACTTGGTGCAGATTCAACTTCATCCAGGCATTGTTTAATTCCATCTATTTCCTGAACCTTTATTTCAAGTCTTGCCATGTCTGTTTTTATAGAGTCAATATCGTGTTTAATGGCGTCAATAGCTTGGCGTCCATTTTTTCAAGCTTCGTCATGATGGTTTTCATATCAAGGCTACATTGGGTATGTTGTCCAAACATTTGGTGTGTGGGGTAGGGGTTTAGTGGAAGCGGACCCTGGAGAGGATAGAAGGGGGGTAGGGATACTAGGCATGGACAGTGTCTAGCGGCTGTCTAACAAAATCACCTGTGTTCATGTCTGCAGGCCGCTTACTCTGTGGCGTGCCTCTCGTGTTCGTGTCCGACTCGGTAGCGCTGGTCGACGAGGAAGCCTTGTTTTCCTTTTATTATCCAATTGATGTATGGCTCACCAGGGAGAATACATTTTCAGTGATATTTAGCCAAATTACAATATAAGAGATAGAGAGATCGGGAGCGATTGAAAATGCATACCAGTCCCCGCCATCTTGGTCACGTGACAGCAAAACACTCAATGAACCCCTTAACCATGTTACATGTCATTGTAGTTGACGATCATATGTGATGATAGTTGAAGGTTACATGTGAATGTAGTTGACGATCATATGTGATGATAGGTGAAGGTTACATGTGATTGTAGTTGACGATCATATGTGATGAAAGTTGAAGATTACATGTGGTTATTGCAGACGATCATATGTGATGATAGTTGAAGGTTACATGTGAATGTAGTTGACGATCATATGTGATGATAGTTGAAGGTTACATGTGAATGTAGTTGACGATCATATGTGATGATAGTTGAAGGTTACATGTGAATGTATTGACGATCATATGTGATGATAGTTGAAGGTTACATGTGAATGTAGTTGACGATCATATGTGATGATAGTTGAAGGTTACATGTGATTACAGTTGACGATCATATGTGATGATAGTTGAAGGTTACATGCGGTTATTACAGACGATGATATGTGATGATAGTTGAAGGTTATATGTGATTGTAGTTGACGATCATATGTGATGATAGTTGAAGGTTACATGTGAATGTAGTTGACGATCATATGTGATGATAGTTGAAGGTTACATGTGGTTATTTCAGACTATCATATGTGATGATAGTTGAAGGTTACATGTGATTACAGTTGACGATCATATGTGATGATAGCTGAAGGTTACATGTGATTACAGTTGACGATCATATGTGATGATAGTTGCAGGTTATATGGAATTATGGTTGATGACTATTTGTAATGAAGGTTACATGTAATTAGTACTTCATTTTCCTTCTGTCATCATATTTGAAAAAGGACTATGTTCAAACACTTACGTCATCCTTGACAGCAGTTGCAGCAGACACATCATGATCTTAAATCTCATCATGTATTTGGGACCGTCTTTGATATGATATCTTCAAGAGACACTTGTTCTAAGAGCGACACCAGCGACAGATCTGCCGGTGTCAATGTTGCCAGGCCGTTCAAGAAGAATTATTCATGGAACGCGGTATTATTTGATGACGACTCATTATAAATTGTCGTTGTATCGACAATCAATTGTAATATTAAAGATTGTTTTAAGACAATCTGCTGGTGTCACAACACAGTAAGGTTTCCAGGCATGCATGACCGTTCAAGAAGAACAAATCCTGGTACACTATATATTTATTTGATTGCATGTGTCTATACTGACGTCTCATTATAAATAGTAGTTGTGTCGGCAGTCAACTGTAATTGATGGTTCTGCTTCTGAAATATACTAATTGAATTTTGTTGGAACAGAAAAGCCATCCTCGTATAAACTGTACTTGATTCCCAGTAATGAAGTTGATTAGATGAGCCTAATACAAGACATGCCATCCTTAACTATGAAGTGTTCAGATCAATGCATAGATACAATGACAACACTCCTGCAATATTCACTAAAATTATGTCGGTTCGCGACTGGTAGAATGCACACGATGTAAAAGTTAGAAAACAAATTGGACAATCAATTACAATCAATTGTAATATTAAAGATTATGCTTCTGAAATACAGTACTAATTCAACTTCTTGGATACAATATTTCATTGCATACACTGTCCTTGATTCTTACTAATGGTTTTGATGAAATGAGCCTAATACAAGATATTCCATCCTGAACTATGAAGTGTTCAGATCAATTCATAGATACAATGCCAACGCTCCTGAATTATTCACTGACATTATGTCGGTGCGTAACTTTGTCACTGGTGGAATGCACACAATGAAATAGAGGAATATATATTGGAACAGACCTGCCATAATTGAAACGTCTGGCTGGTTGCCCAACATGAACATTTATCTCTATTGACTTACTCACAGATAGGATAACAATTACATTTAAGCATCACTACGCATTTTATCACGGTCCTTTCATTTGTGAGGCAAGGAATGTACCAAAAGCAATCATCGGTTCTACCAATGTGAATCTACAACCACGACGATTATCAAAGCCCCCAGGCATTTAACTGATATTTTGCTATCTCGGAAAACAACCAAGTACAGTTACATGAACACATTTAATTTTCTACTTTGTACCCAACTGTCCCACACAACTCACTTTAGTCATTGGGAATGTGTTTCCAAAAGGCTTGATACGGTTAAATCGCTATCTTCAGAGGGTCACGACAATTTGTCAAATATTTTAATTTTTTTAATTTTTCTATTTTTCTCAAAGTACAGGTCACATGTCGCATGTTGTAATCAACAAATTAGATTAACAATTGCATGTTCTTAACACCTTCAAGAGAATATGTATTTATGTAAAGATGCTAATATCAGAGCCTATACAGCTATAAACATAGATGTATATTGGTCTAAAGTCTTTGCTTATGTTCAATGTTAAATATGGACTGTATCCAAAGCAGGTAGTATATTACTAGGCAAATAAAGTATGTAGCGATGACCAAAATTTTGTAAATCTTTCATATGAATAGGTTGTAAAAGCTATGCATTTTGAGAGATAATAGTATTGGCAGCAGATTCTAAAAATATTCTTTTGATCTGGTACTATTCCATACTTTCGGTTGTGAAACATTGTCTGTTTAATAAGAAGCAAAAATATATTCAAAGGATCATTTCGATGCTCCTTTAATCCAAATAGTATGATTTGTGGAGTAGGTTTCATCCTTATTCCAGCATCAGACATGAGCTACTCTTCAATTTTCTTCCAAAGTCTATTTATGAAAGTACAATCCCCAAAGAGGTGGAAAATTGTTTCATTAGAAGTATCACAATAGCTGCACAGTGATGAGTCACTGACTTTTATTTTATGTAAATAATAATTTGTGCCTAAAATATTGTTAATAATTTTCATTTGGAACCATCTTAATTCTGTACTCTGTGTAGATCTAAATGGTATAATGTTGTAAGTTCTCCAATCTGATTTATCAATGTTAGATTCAAGTATGGTTTCCCATTTTAAATTTGAGGCTGATTTCTTGACTATTGACGGGAGAAGAGTGATATAAAACAACTTGCTACCCTTATCAGAATCTAACAGTTTATGAGTGTAGTAAGGAACAATAGGCAACTCTAATGATAAGTGGTCTGAGTTAAGGGTAACAAGATTATAATTTTTTTGTAGGTGTTTCACACAACTGATCAGACTTTGATAAGATAAGAAACTGGCATTTAGCTACAAATTCATTAAAATCTAAATATTTTCCATCATTATCCAGTAGATCTTTAACCGACCTTACTCCTTTCTTGTACCAATCTGAGTAAAAAGGTGTTACCAATAATTAGTTTGTTGTTGAACCACAAAGGAAATGTCAGAAATTCCTCTACACTTGGTGATAGTTCCAATAATGTTTCTATGTAATCTGCCAAAGCCATAAGTACATCGCTCCAAAAAGGATTATTTATGTTGTCGGCATATTCTCTTATTTGACTTGGGCCAATTTCAAAGAAATTTACTGGTAGTGGACGTAGATTTACGAAAATTAGATTTTGGAGGTTTGAGTCTTTTGTCAAGATTCTTTTTGTCCAAGACAGTTTTTGTGACTGGATTGTGGTACTTTAATTCCTCCATCTTTGTGAGTACAGTACATTTTCTCTCTATATATTTTGTCAGTTCTTCCACCCCAAATAACTTGAAAACAGTTCCTTTGCAGTTCGTCAACAATTTTCTGAGTTGGATTAGGTAACATTGAGAAGAGATGGTACAATTTAGGCAAGAGAAGTGATTTCAGTATTGTATTTCTTCCCAATGGAGCTAATGTCCGGAATGACCAGATTTTCATTAAATTTATTATGTTTTGTAGTTTATCATTGTACTGTTTTTCTACCATCACATCCAAGTCTACATCCAAGTCTATTCCAAGCAAATTGAAGCTCTCTACCCATTCAAGATTCCATTTGTTACATAGTTTATGTTTTGATCTCTTTTTAGATCCAATCCATATAATTTTACTTTTTTCACTGTTAAATTTAAGTCCTGAAAACCTAGCGTAGAAAGTTACTTCATAAATTGTTGTATATAAAGATTTCTCAGTTCCATCGAGAATAATAGTTGTGTCATCAGCAAATTGTGAGAGAATATGTTCAATATGTCTAATTTTTACACCCTTAATATTTTTGTTATTTCTCAGCATGGCAAGCATTTCTACACACAGTAAAACATGTATGGTGATAATGGGTCGCCTTGACGACATTCACGTGATATTGGAAAGAAAGGAGTCAGCAAATCCATTCACAAGGATACAAGATTTTATATCTTTGTAGAGTATGTTTATCCATTTTTATATTACTGGGCCAAAATTGAAAAAAAACCACCCTTAATTCTTTATCAATATATTTCCAATCAACTGTATCAAAGGCTTTTTCAAAATCTACTTAAAGAAGCAAGCCTGGAATTTGATAGTTTTCAGTGTAATGCATGATGTCATAGATAAGCTGGGCTGCTTCGCCAATATAACAGCCTGCCATAAATCCTTTTTATTGATCCAATCTTCATTGATCAAATGTGGCAAGACAAATTTTATTCGTTGAGCAATAACAGCTAAAGCTAACTTATAGGAAACATTAAGGAGTGAGATTGGTCTCCAATTTTTCATAAACTGTTTAGGTCTAATTAAAATTTTAAAAAAAAAAGTCAAATATGATAGCAAATGTGACCCCAAGTTTACAATGGAACGTTTTAGATTTCCGCAATGATAACATGGGATAATGCATTTCCATGTTCGGATTGGCAAAATTAGTGAAACCGCCGCCTTCGATCAAACAAGTCAGCGTGGCCAAACACTCCAGAAGACAATTAAACCAGCCGCTTCAGCCTTTGTTGTGTAAATGGTTCACCTTTTAAGGTATAATCGAGGGTCCTCGTTTCATTGTGTGTCTTGGTGTTTGCTTTTTTTATTAACAAATTTATTATAACGTCGTGATAACATGGTTGCTAAATAGCGAGTAGGAAAAGGGTTTCTCCAGTCTAAATGTAATATGTATTAATGGATGTTATGTTGCAGAGTAATGCATTGTTAAAAATGTTCCAATAGCATGTCATTGTATCTAAGATTCACAAGTTCAAAACATTGTTATAACAATAATAAGTTGTCAGGGCTGTTTTACAAAACAATATGTGGTAGTTTGGGATATTTGGACACGGTTCTAGTTCTATTGGGGTTGGGTTAACATAAGATGGGTTTTTTCGTGTGTTCCCGAGCCGCAACACATCCGGCAGGTTGGTGTGTGTCTGTCTGGCATGAACAGCACATGCACTGCCTGCCTCTAGCCCAATAAAGGGAGTACATTTTGTAGCTTCACAGCACTCCTTGTCTTTATCCCACTGGTTCACCAGAGGTGAGGACACTTACTTCCGCTGCTTGAGTCCTGGTAACACAGACCAAGTTGATAGGCTTTTGGTGTTAGTTTTAATGTTCCTTGAAGTCTGGAATGCCTTTTACATAGGGAATTAATACATGTATTTTTGGACATAGGCTCTGAAATCGGAGCCATATGTCTGGTTAGGTGTTATGGTGCTAGGTATACTGGGGAGTTAGGATGTTAGGATTTTAAGGTGTTAATTTAATGGGTTAATTGCTACAACTTATAGGTTAATTGTTTAATTAAGGAAATTACACCTTAGAGTTTATTAAGTAATTTTAGGTCTTAGGGCAGTCTGTGAGATTGTGAATGTCTTGAAATGTGAGAATTTCATTCTATTACATTGACGTTTTGTAAATTTATTGAGTTTCTATTTTTTGTGGTTTTACCGGCAATGAGATCTGATTCCTGGAACCTATACATTTGAAGTTGGCTACTTTACCAGCATCATAAAATACACAACACAAGGTCCTATACCATACACTGGCCAACTTCAACTGTCAGTGGGCAGAGAAGCCTATTGCAGATTTAGTGCCGTGACCCGAATTAAGTTTCTTGTTTCTGGTAGGAATTTAATTTTATTCAGTTTTATTGTTGTGTTAA